AATTAGTTTTAACCTATATATGTTGCAACTTATAATATTGCAATATATGTTGCAACTAATTTTAGCTTATGTTGCAATATTTGTAAATTGTAAATCAATTGCTGTACCATCTTTATTCATGACCTAACCCAAGTCACATGTGACTTGAACTTTATTTAGTTAAATTTTTAAAGGCTATTAGTTTATTAACAAAGCAAACAATTAGGCCGATAAAAATGCTTAAAATTTCATGTAACATTGATTATAACATCTAAATTTAGAATTTAGAAATGATTGACATTAATTTTAGAAATGATCAACATATATTGTTACCCAACTAATGATTAAGCAAACTGAAACACATAATCAATTGAGTAGCAGCAAGATTTAGCTCAATCTTTATTAAGTTTTGGAAGAGACTTTGGTTAATTGGGCTATTGTTGACTTCGGTATTCTTTCACGATTAAGTTTCAGAATTGGCAAGTATGACGACTTCCAATTCACTATGTAAGACAAGTAATTTCATTTAATGTAGGAAATTCTCAGTTGACGTTACAAAGTTTTATTTATAACCAAGTTGATAATGTTTAAGTAATTTAGAGATTACTTAAACCTAGATGATACTAAGCAGGATTGATAACGTTAAGTAATTTACAATATTACTTAACTAAGGTTTTTACAAAGCGAGTTGATAATGTTAAGTAATCTAATATTACTTAACCAAGGTTGACACAAAGCAAGTTAATAACGTTAAGTAATCCAATATTACTTAACCAAGGTTAATACAAAGCAAGTTTGACACAAAGCAATTTGTTTGTTATGAAACAATTTAGCAAAGAGTTTTATTATCTTATAAACTTAACTTTCTAAATTTCTATTGATATATGGTGAAAACTCAGCTTATTTATAATGAAATTTCTATACTAAATTGCTATCTATTGTATAAAAACTATGTAATAATTTTCTTATCAATATTGTTGTAATAATTGAGTAATGACTACCTAATCGCTGTACAATAGTCCTTTAACTATAATATATATATATTTGAAGAGATGTAGTGAATATAATTATATTGTTCTTAAATTATTACTATATCTTTATACTTAGCCTTTGATTAGTTTCTCTTTGAAGTTCTTATTTGGAGTTTCTAGTTTAAAAGGTTACGCATATCATTATAAACTAATGATTTATTATTTCATTTCTTCATTAACTGATCTGATTAATTTTGCAGATCACTTTTATAGATCATTGTGTCATTGATTTTTGTACACATTTCCAATTTCTTGAAGATCATTTGGATTATATCATTAAAATTAAATTTAATAGTTTATAGTTTCAAATTTTTTAAAAAATTTATATTTTTATACATATAAACTTTTCTTTTATGGAGGTTTGGAGGTCTGGAAGGTATTTATATTTATATCTCCAAGAAAAAAATTTTCATTATAAATACTGTTTTTTTTGTTTTTTTTTTTTTTTTTTTTTTTTTAAGAAAATAATGTTCTAGTTAAAATAAATAAACAATTTATAAATAAATAATTTATAAATGAAAATTTATTTAAAAAAAAGAATATAAATAAATAAAATAATAAAATAAAAGTAAAAATAAAATAAATATAAAAATAAAAATAAATAAAATAATAATAATTATACGATATTCAGCAACAAATGTAAACTAATAATTATCTGTTTATCTTTCTGCAAGAGAGGAATTTCTAATTTCCTTATAATTTTTAGTCTTTTACAAAAATTATTGCAAAAATTTAAAATGGGAAAATCTAACGCCAACGACATTTTAACTATCAACAAGCCAGCCTTTGTTCACGATAAGAAGAAGACTGATGACAGATAATTGATGATTTAGAAATAGAAATCCATCAGCTTAGACAGGAACTTAACACTTTAAATATCAGACTAAACGACCTTTCTTCATCTAATAATAGGTATTGAGCTAGATATCAATCGCTTAGAATAAAATACAATAGTCTTCAATTTTTAACTATTCACAATCAGAGGTCAATTGCCTTCAAGACCTAGAAATGGTAGAAAAAGCTCAAGTCTTAGTAAGAGACATAGATAGACTCGGAGGAATTTTAATATTTTTTTAGTATAATTACAGGATGTAGTGAGGAATTTAATTTTCCTTTTAACATTCATTTTTACAATTAAATATTATTAAATTTTACTTGAGAGGGATGCTGTACGCTTTGACCATCCTTGAAATACACTTTATCATACGCTTCGACCGTTCATAAGACTATGCTTTCCTTTCTCTCTTTTATAGCAAAATATTTTAGTTTTCTCTTCTTATTGTTAATATATAATTTCTTTCATATGTCTATTTTATTTTCTTTGTTTTTCTTCAATTTTTCTATGTAATTTCAAATATTTAATAAAATTTTTGCATATCATTGCAGTTCTGCCTATTAATAAATTTAATTACGTCTAAAATGTAAAATCTATAAAATACTAAATAATAAAAAATAAAATAAAAATAAAATAATAATAAAAAAAAATTAAAATTTGAACTGCGTCACATTATCTATGTCACATTATCACTTTTTCCTTTAAGAAATGAGCTTTACGAATTAAAATGGTTGACATAATATTAGGTATTCAACTGTTTTTAATCGCTTAATTAAAAATGAAGTGATAAATTTTGTATGATAAATTTGTTGTAAATTGTCTTCAAAAATAAAATAAGTTCTTTCAGCTACTCTTCTATAATATGAAATTATATTTTGTCTATTTAAAATTTTAGGAATATCACACATGTTAATTATCATACCTGAGTAATATGCATAGGTTAAGGTAGGAATACGTTGGTGTAATATTGCAGATCTGATCATCTGCCTATAAACTGATTTTAATTTGAACTTGATTGAATCTGAGTCAAGATATGAAGGTCGTATTGTTAGAATATTTTGTGGTTTAATTTCAAAAATATCGAGACTAATAAGATCGAATAGTGATGACATTTTTGCTTGAATCTTTTTTAGATCAAGAAAATGATCCTATATATATATTCTAGGTTCCAAAATATTTTTGTAATACATTTTATATCGATCATTGTGTTTAAAATTCTTGACCAATCTTTCATCTATGTTTCTTAATTTGTACATTATGTACAAAATATGGTCCTACCCAACGTTTCTCTAATTTAGCTAAGAAATTATTTTTTAGCCATGTGTGTTCCACTAATACTTTATCTCCAATTTTAAATTATTCAGCTGTTGCACTAATATCATATTGATTCTTTTGTTTTCATTGATCCTCCTTAATTTGATTAAGTGCAATTTGAAGATCATCTTCTAATTGGTTGATTATCTTAAATAATCTTTCTATTAATGCATCCTTAATATTTTTATTGTTACTCAATTCTGTTGGAATTTTTAATTCAATAGGTAATGTTGCTTGTCGTTTATATAATAGGTAAAATGGTGTATAACCAGTTGTATTATGTTTCATTGTCTTATAAGCAAATAAAACTGATTCTACATATTCGTCTCATTTTTTTTCTTTGTTTATAATCAATTTGGCTAAGCATTCACCAATTGTACGATTAAATCTTTCAACCATATCATTTGTTTGAAGTCTATATGCAGAAGTAAGCCGGTGTTTATTTGAAATTTATCATATAGTGCATTCACTACTTTATTTAGAAAAGAAGATCTTCTATTAGATAGAAGTTCTTCTAAAACACCATGTCTGCAAATAATTTTATCAAATATAAACTTTGCAACAGTTTCTGATTTAATATCAGGTATTGGTTTTGCTTCAGGCCATTTTGTGAAATAATCCATAGCAATGATTATGTAACGATTACCTTGTGAAGTTCTAGGTAAAGGTCCTTTATATCAATTCCAACTCTATAAAAAGGAGATTTAACTTTGATTGGTTTAAGGACTCTTTTTTTTTAGATGATTCACGTTTTTGACAATTATCACATCTTTGTATATATTTTCTAATAACTTCGTACATTTGTAACCAGTAATATTGCTCTTTTACTTCTTCAAAAGTAGTATCGCCTCCTAAATAAGCACCTGTCATGTCTTTATAAAGATTATAAAGAGTAATTTCCACTTGTTCAGGTAGAATTACTCTTTTATCTCGATCTCTAATTCGCTTATATAATAAATTATTTTTCATCAAGTATTGGGTTAAAATTTTTTGTAATTTAATCTGTTGAGAGTCGTCCAAATTAAAAGGGTATGTGAGAATTGTAAGGTATTACGTCAAATCTTCATATAATTTATTATCCATTATTGAAAATATAAAATAATGAAGGTGATTACACAATCATATTAGTTGAGTTAAAACTATTGAGGTTAATCCGTAATAAGACGTCAGCATTCTTATGATTCTTTTCTTTTTGATATTTTACTTTATATGAATATTCTTGTGAGATAAGTCTCTATCTTATGATTTGTTTTTTTTCAATAACCTTAGAATAGAATTTAATAGCTATTGTAATTAAAGATAATTCCCATAATTATTTTCAAATTTCAATTGAGTTACAACTTAATTGTGTCATAATGAAATTTAATTGCATCACAAGTTGCAACACAATTATGCCATTTTTAATTATAATGCTCATCTTTAATTGTAATGTAAAATGATCGATAACAATTATAAATTTACTTTCAAATATATATTATTTAAAGTATTTTACTGTCCAGACTATAGCTAAACATTCTTATTCTATTGTATTATAATTCTTTTCTGCTGGACTTAAAGATCTACATAGATAACTACATATTCTTTTCCATTATCTCCTTTTTGAGATAATACTGTTTCTAATCCAATTTGAGATGCATTAGTGTATAAAGTAAAAGGTTGATCAAAATCAGGATAAATAAGAATTGATGCTATCATTAATTTTTCTTTTAATATGTCAAAATTTTGTTGATGTTTATCTGATTATTGATATAAAGATTCCTTTTCTATTAATTAGTAGAGTAGTGATGATATTTTTGAAAAATCTTCTATAATAAGAAGCCAAACCAAGAAAGGCATACAATTCTGTAAGATTTCTTGAAATTAGATAATTAGCAACTTTTGTTATTTTTGTTGGATCAGGTTGTATACTCTGTTCATTAACAATATATTCTAAGAATTTGATCTCCTAAGAATAAAAGTGATATTTATCAGGTTTTATTCTCAAATTGGCATCTCTAATTCTGTTCAAAGTGATTTATAAATATTGTAGATGTTCTTCAAAAGTTTTAGAATGGATATTAAGATTATTCATATGAAGTGTCACTTCTCCTTTTGGAATATTGTATCCATAATTTGCTGAAAAGTTGCAGGTGCATTACATAATCCAAAGGGCATTACAACAAATTCATATAAACCTTCACTGGTGATAAAAGCTGTCTTTTCAACATCTTCTAGTCTAATTTTGATTTGCCAGAATCATAAAAATGAATCTAATGAACTGAACCAACGTGATTCTTATAATGAGTCCAATAATTCATCAATCCTAGGAAGAGGGTAATTCCTTTCATCCAAATTTGGCAGAACCTGAGCTGCTAGAAATGCCTGTGCAAAAAGCCCTCAAAAGGGCATACAGGATCTATTTTAGGAACAATTCTTATACAAGCGACACAATCTGAAGGTGGTTGTAAGTCAAATCATTACCTCATTAAGGCTTAAGTGCCTTGGTATTGAGACCTTAGGAGACCAGTCTCGGTATTGAGGTTTGTAAAATAATTCCTTATGCCAATCAACTCCTCTCCCACCTGCGCACCACTTGCAAAAAAAAAAATACTCAAAATAGATAATAAGTCTGAGAACCTCATTTTACCCCATATATATTTATAAATATATTACTTACAGTATATATAAAATCTTATAATCTTATAAAAGCAATTAATTACTTAAAAAAACTTTTTTTATTACATAATAATTTTTTTAAAAAATAAAAAAATAATAGTTAATTAAAAAGTAAATGAAATGATTATGATTAAAAATATAAATAATTTTTTTTTACATAATAAAAAATTATGGTTGTTCATATACGTAAACCTTCACGAATTCACATAGGATAAGTATTTAATTCAGATTACCTAACACCCGTTAACGAAAATTAATGCAGAATACAACTAGATGATCTAAATTAATCAAGAGTCAAATTACATAAAAAAAAATCCAAATAATCTGAACATATAAACTAAAGGTAAAGCAAAAGTGCTGTTGATTAAAGTAATATTCAAATTAACAAACAAACAAAACAAACAAAAAAAGAAGGTACAATATTTCAAAAATCTAAAAGGAGTAGTATAATTTCAATTCAGCTCGCTTGATATTATTAACCCAACCTGGAAAATTCGATCGAATCCAAAGCCCCACCATTTCACCAGGTTGCAGACCAGTTACCAAAGGATGATCTGAAGTGAACACTTTATTATGTATTTGCCAGGTATTATCGGCATGTTTATTTGTATAAACAATATAGCGCTCTTTCGGCACCTTTTCATCAAATTTGTCGCCAATTTCAATTGATGGATCTTGTAAATTTATACCTTGTTTGGGGATAACCACGGAAGCTTCTCCCCATGTATATGAACCTATGTAACTACCTTGAGTACGAGGATACGACGACCATCCTTGATCATGAGACTCGCATGTAAATTTAATCATTTTGCACTTTGTAAATATTTCCGCTTCGTTTGGTGATGGAGGAGTCGGTAATGATCCGGTAAGGTATAACATATTCAAGTAATCTCCTTTATAGAAAGCCTCTCGGCGAGAAGTTACCGAAGACCAATATTGTGCAAAATCGAATATGGAATCTATTATCTCATATGGTAAAGATGGAAGCTTTCCATTATTTCCCCAACCCCTGAGAAAGTACATACGAACTTTGAACACATCCGCGGCAGTAATGGTATAAGGAGAATTAGAAGTTGATTGCGAAGACGATACATCAATTATGTTTTCGTTTTCTGACTGAGAAATTTATTAATTTATTTCTTTTTAAAAAGGTGAGGATCCGATTTATTGAATTTTTTTTACAATAAAGTTGATACATACTTGTTCACTGTTCATATTCTTGACAAGGGTTGCAATAAAATTGTACATAGACTGCTTATTACATAAGCTTTGGTTGTCGAAATTCAGGGTTGTGTTTAGAGAAAAAAATTATTGTTTAAAAGTACAGTAGATATTACAAATTTGCAAAAAAATTGTGTAACAACTTAATAACCGATTGGGACTATCACGTGACGGGTGGATTTCAACTTTTTATGGAAAAAAAGTAGACAAGAACTTTATTTCCAACTTTAAGCGTAAGTTCTGACCATTTGAAAACATAAATCATCTCTTTGAATAAAATACGTGATAACAATTTTATATTTATACAATGGTTTGATTTAAAAAATATTTATTTTTTCCAAACTTTAAATAGTTTAATGAATAATTTTTTGCAATTACAAAGTTTATCAAATCATGTTTCCATTGGGGAGTGCATTTTCTTGAGTCATAGAGTCATTGAGTCACTAATCATTAAAAAAAGGAATATGATACTTACATTTACAATGATCATCACATGTTTTGCATGTTCTGCAATTCGTAAATACACCACACCTAATTACGTCACCATATTCTTTATCACTATCTATATGCGTACACTTTCGATCACCTTTTCAATAAATAAAAGTAAAGTTAGTTATAAATTTTTTACAGACTAGTGGAACTCAATGACTCTTTGTGACTACAACTTACTCATTTCAAATTCTTTTATTAAATCTTTTATAAAAAAACCGAAAGAAAAAAATTGTGCCTTTAAATAAAGAAATTTCCCTTTCTCATTGACAACATGTCATATTTTACCAAATAAATATTATGTATGATATCGCGTAAATTTTTTTCTTTCATCTTCCCAAAGTTTCCATTATCATTACGTAATCAAGACTAAAAAAAGAATTTAAACTAGCTCAAGCCCCAACGCCAATCTAAAAAAAAGAACAATATCGAAAAAAATAATGCGCAATCATCCTATGCAAAATTGATGTATAGGAGATTACGCCGGAACGCAAATTTCATGTGATTTTGATATACGTGCAAATAACATGGTTAATTATACCAGCCAATCAGAACTTTGGGATAAATTAGTGAAACCGTACTTCGCCACGTTCGCTATTATTACATTTTAAATTTTAAAACGATTTTAAATGTAATGTAAATTAAATATTTTAAATATTTTCACAAGCAGTAAATTCAAAATAATTCGTGGAACTTCGTGCCTTTATTGTTTTTAATTTAAACTGTTGCTACTAACTTAAAGTTATATTCAATCAAAAGACTTTTGGTCGTGACTTATTTTCTTTTGCTAATTTATTATTAGCATAAAATAAACGTAGTATAAATTTTGTATGATGAAATGAGGAAAAAAAGGAGAAATGAGAAAGGAGAAAGCTGAAAGGTTTATAATAGACCACAAAATTATAAAAGATATTTTTTTTTACAATCAAAATTTTTAAACTATGGTCTACCGGGGGAGGACAAAAGTATTGCACGGTTTTGATTTAGGTATTTTAGTTAATTTATCATATTGTAAACGGATCTACAAAGTGATCTGCAAAATCGATCTACAAAAGGGATTTGCAGAATTGATCAACAGAATGA